TATTATGGTTTATAATGGCAAATGATACTTTGAATATTACATGTTAATAACTTGATTGGAATTATAACCTTGAATTGACAGTTTGATACTTTGAAAATTTTGAGCCAGCCCTACCCCCAAGGGCTGTAGGGTGGGGCTCAAAGGAGTCAGTGTGCTAAAATTTCTTCATTTTCCTTGTTAAGAATCAGAGGTGCTAGTTTCAAATCCTTTTTAGTCTGAAATCTGTATGCTAGATATTGAATAAGGTGGTTTTATTGTTTTTTGTCACTTTGAATATATTTCTGTTCATGTTAAAAACAAAATCAACTCTCTGTATAAATATATCAGGTGTCCGTTAAGGCCCATGGGCCTCTTGTTAAATCTTTAAATAGATTCTTTTGAATCAAACACTGGTATTTTGCCTGTAGCTGTATTTTACTCCACTTTTAAGATGAAAAGTGTAAGATTAATACCAGGTGAGCGATTCAGGCTTATTGGACCTCTTGTTTTGCTTTTGTTATTGTATGATAAACCAATTTTTCTGTTCTTCATTTCAGGAGAGCACTAGTCAAGAGAATGACCTCTCGTCACGTAATCGTCACCAGTCAGGACCACAGGAGCCCCAGTCGACGACCATGACCCCACTAACTCCTCTCACACCCGTGACCCCATTGACCCCGTTAACCCCTCAACACCCACTACCTCCAACAACCCCCACCCAATCACAGGGAGGAGGGTCTCTACCCACCCAAACACAACATGGGACCTCATACTCGCAAGCTCAATCCAGCATGGACCGCCCCACTACAAAGGGGGCCTCCATAGGGGGCCCAGGTGGGGCTCCAATGGGGGCAGACAGCGCCAAAAAGATCCCAAATACCTCATCTCTTCTTGGAGACAAAAACCTTGATAATCTGCTTAACTATTTCTGGGAGAAAGGTAATGAAGAAACTGGTAATGTTCCAAGCAACAGTATAGCCTCAAAGGCTCTCAAGCGGAAAGCACCTCCCTCAGATACTGACGGCCCCGACGGATCAGACTCCGAGATGATAATGAATAACATGAAACAGCAACACCTTCAGGCCCAATTACAGCTCCAGCTACAACAGCAGCAGCAACAGCAGCAGCAACAGCAGCAGCAGCAACAACAACAACAACAACAACAACAACAACAACAACAACAACAGCAGCAGCAGCCTCAGAGCAGCAGTCTGATTCAGAAAAATGCTCTGCTTGCTCGTCTGTTATCACGTAAAAACGCAAAAGAGACCAAGATTTTTACACAGTTGACCATCGGACAGTCTTCAAATCCTTGTGAAAATCCTCACAATAGGTTACCGAAGAATTTGACTGACAAAATCATGGTTCTGAAACCCACTGAAAAACACCAAAACTTGAATCCAATAAAGAAATCAAAAGAGGATGTAAATAACAAGGAGTTAAAACTTGAGACTTCCTCCTTCCCTGCTAATGGCACCAGTAAACCTGACGATAGTTTGAGTAGGTTGACAAACAACGCTATGGATGTTAGCATTAACTCAAATAACAACATGGTAACATCATCAAGTTTCAACTCGTTGCCAACAGCAACACCTAACAACACCAGTCAGCAATACCAGGAGCAGTATGCCCAGCTACAACAACTGTTGTCAGGTAGCAACCAGGCAAGCCAGCTGCCTAGCAACATGGAGATGGACCAGGTGGACAACCCAGACACACTGCTGGACCAGATCCTCCAGCAGGCTGCAGACTTACAGCAGGACATGTCTCAGGGCAACATACAGAGGTCCACTCCAAACTTAAGTGACGAGTCAATCATATCTCAACTGGAGCAGGTACTAAGTGACTCAGGTTTTTCTGAGCTGGATAACATGCTGGGACTGACTCAAGACTCGGGCAAGGGCAGGACAGATGCCAACGATGATATGGCCATCAAGGCCATACAGCAACAGCTGATGAGTGAGGAGCCCTCACAGCCAAACAAGAAAGCCCCACAGCCACCTATGATGGGGCAGACACGTGTCAGTTCCAGCATGCCACAGCCCCAGGGATTCAACCCAGCGGTGATTGGACAGCAGCAGCAGCAACAGCTGGGACAAATGTCTTCAGGGGTGGGGCTTAACAACCTTCGCTTTCAGCTTCAGCAGATGGCACCACGAGCCCAGCAGCAGCAGCAGCAACAGCAACAGCAACAGCAACAGCAGCCCCCTGCTCTGTCCCCACAGCAAGCGTTCAACCAGGCAGCTCCCTCAAACTTCAGCGCCCAGGGGCCTAGACTTCCCGGACCACAAGGTCAGTGGTGGCTTAGATAAAAAAAAATGTATGAAAGAACATAGACATTTGGCCAAGTGAGCTTATGCCCTTGTCTATGTATTGTTTGTTTGTCAACTTTTCCTTAAAATGTATTCCAGAATATCATTAGAAATTTCACCCATATTTGGTATGGAGCATCCCGGGCCAAGGACATTCTAAAGGTGTTTCCCCCTAGAAGCAGAGGGGCAGGGCGTGCCCAATTTTATAAAGGGGATGGGGGGGGGGGTAATTGTTTAAACAACTTCTCCTTAAACATAGATGAAGGGGGTCTTTAACTGAATAAGCATGCATTACCCAGACCAATGGGATTCATTGTTATATAAATGACGAGTATAGGCCCCTTAGGACAGAGACCAGGTCTAAAAGTGGAAATGGGTCAAGTACTGAAATGATGACTGCTTAAATACAGATAAAAAGATCCATCAAATGTGGTATAAATTATCCTTGGGCCAATGATTAAATGAATGATGTGGCATGCTTTGTATGGAAAGGGGCAATAGAGGTAGCTCTAAAAAAAACTAATCCTCAAGTACAGCTTGACAGATTTTAACTTGGTGTATTAAACATTCTTCAAAAGCAAATGTTTGATACAGTCTAGCTGGGCCTCTTTTTGTGTGTTTAATCTTCAAAATGTTGCAAAATAATTCTGTAATTTTCATGAAATTGTTTGCCTTTCAACCACCAGTAAACTGAATGATTTGCTATTTGCCCCCCACAGTGCCCGTTGCTAGTGCCTTACCTGGTAACCAGCAGCAGCAGAGACCAGTTTTCAACATGAACCCCAACTCGACAGCCAGCCAGGTACGACAGTCCCTCCTCCACCAACAGAAACTCAAGCAGATGCGTGAGATTGAGAAGCGAAGGATGGAGAGACAGCGACGCTTACTTCAAAGTCAACTGAGCCAGCAGTTCAATCAACACTTTCCTCCGGTAAGCATAACAGAACACACACATAACAGTTCCAGGATTTTGAGTTATTTCCCTTTTTAGGTCACCTGAGACAAAGTCTCAAGTGACCTATTGCGATCGCCTTTTGTCCGTCGTGCGTCCGTAAACAATTTACATTTTCGACTTCTTCTCCAAAACCCCTGAACCAATTTCAATGAAATTTTGCAGGGACCTTCCATGGACAAAGGTCAACAAAA